ACCTCTACCAAGTACGGCAAAGCGCTCAAAGAGCAGTTTCTACTAGCTCCTGGGTGGCGGAATATGAACAATGGTGAGTTCAACTAGTCTTGAACTACTCGACGCTTCAATCGGTTCTGTGTTGCTAACCAATCGTCCAGGTTCTTTTGGTGTTGTCCCCCGAGTCATCAAAGACAAGCAGGTCGAATACCAGTTCCAGGAGGAGTCCAACCCAGACAAGTACATCCGGTATGATCAACCCAATCTTCTCGATGCCTCTCGTCAAGCAATTGCAAAGTTTGTCAACGCACCCTCGGACACAGTTGTCCTCGTGTCCAACGCAACTACGGCCGTGAATATCATTCTCCGAAATCTTGTCTGGAGTCAAGACGGGAAGGATGAAATCTTGTCCTTCTCAACCATCTATGGAGCCTGCGGCAAGACCATCAGCTACATCTGCGACTACAATGAACTTGTCTCATCTAAACTGATTGAGCTGCAATACCCGCTTGAAGATGAGACCATCGTCGAGAAGTTCCGAGACGCCATCCAGGCATCCAGAGCGGCGGGGAAGCGCCCCAAGCTCGCCTGCTTCGACACCGTCTCGTCACTTCCCGGCGTATGCTTTCCCTACAAGGAGCTCACCCAGATCTGCCGCGAGGAGGGTATCCTGAGCCTCGTCGACGGCGCCCAAGGCGTCGGCATGGTCCCCCTCGACATGACGGCCCTGGACCCGGACTTCTTCTTCTCCAACTGCCACAAGTGGATCAACACGCCCAAGGGATGCGCTTTCATGTACGTCCCGGTCCGGAATCAGGACCTACTCGTCAGCACTATGCCGACGAGCCATGGGTACGTGCCCAAGACGGGCAAGGCTTTCATCATGCCCCTCCCGACCGACCCCTCCAAGTCGGCGTTCCTCCAGAAGTTCGCGTTTGTAGGGACAATCGACACCAGCTCCCTCGTCTGCCTGAAGGATGCTTTGGAGTACCGGGCCAGGGAGTTTGGGACCGAGGACGAAATCATGAGCTACCTCTGGACGCTGGCCAAGCAGGGTGGGAAAAGGGCCGCCGAGATCCTCGGAACCAACATCATTGACAACTCAAAGGGGACGTTGACCAACTGTGCCCTCGTCAATGTCTGGCTACCCGTCAAGGTGGGCAACACGGCCACGCCCGCCCCTGGCCCCAGCGATGTCGTCCTGTCGGAGGAGGATGCGCCGAAAGCTCTGGCCTGGGCCGCGAAGCTTCTGGTTGAGGAGTATAAGACGTTTGTTCCTTTCTCTCTTCATTGCAACCAGTGGTATGTCCGATTTAGCGCGCAGATCTATCTGGAGTTGGACGACTTTGAGTGGCTCGCGAATGTCTTGAAGGAGGTGGTTGAGCGACTCAGGGCAGGGGAGTTCAAGAACCAGTCTTGAGAAGGGTTGGGGAGGCCATGCTGAGAGGTTATATAGTTTCAAAAAGCCAGAACTTTTCAATAGAGCAAGTAGAAATTTACTTCACTATTCAAACTAGCGAATTGGGGAGACGCTTCCGGGTAGATAGTTGATCAAGAACCTGAAAGAACCTATCTTGAAATGTCTATCAAGTACCATCAATGCCAAGACTCACGTAGCTGACTAAATTGTAGGTTAATATGGGCAAAAATTATCAAAGATTTATGACTACCCGGAAATTACGAATATCCCAGGTTCGGGCTGCCAAAATGCGTGAATACCGGTGACTCGAGAACCAATCCTCACATGGTATGATCACGGAGGCTTTGCACGTTCTCTCAATCTCTGATGCATAGTAGTAGAAAGTGAGAGAGCTATACAACTGCTAAAAAAAAGGGGGAAATTCCTAAACACCAGTAATTTGCTAACTTGATACTATACCCAGGTATCACAATATATTAAACTTCAGCCTTGTGCCCGGCTACGAGCCTTGTGCCCGGCTACGAGCCTTGTGCCCGGCTACGAGCCTTGTGCCCAGCCGTATCGTATATAAGGTTCATTACCACCAAAGGCTGTACCCGGTAATAACTCTTTCGTCGGCATGACTCCTTTTGCGAACCTTAAGATGCTGATTTTTATCTATTTAAAGGCTGCTGTTGCTGGCCTGAATGAACCGCACAGTTCAAGTCCATCTGCACTTGCGAAAGTATCGACGATCTACCTATTTCGCGAATCGCTGCCTTCATCGTCGCAGACAAGTCAAGTAGACAAGTCAAGTGCTTATCGAAGCTTCATACATCACCACACTCTTCGCTACACATCGCTACTCAGTCGAATCAATCGACTCTCGCACGCCGCTGCTTTCATCGCTCCGGCACACTCAAGTCCTCGTCAAACATCCAACCGAGCCTGCGCTTGCTCTCTCCCGGTCTGCCCCTGGACCTCGACAACAGTCATCAGCGCAGTTAGCTTCCTATCGCAAAGATAAGAGGCACTTACACACACACACATACCTCAGTCCAAGAAGAAACCTACATAATGGCGAAGAAGATGATGAAATAAAAGCGGAAGGTGCTAGCTATAGCGCTTATTATTGAGGCTGGCTAGCTGGGTAATATGATAATCTAGACTTGGCCCAAGGCTGATACGAGTAATCATAAGCTCGTCGAGACTGCTAAGGCAGTTGGGGGGGTTAAAAAGCTGGCCAGACTGGATAATAGGTACTATAGCTAGCACCTTCCGCATTTACCTCTGATGCATATCTCGACCTGGGTCGCTACCAAAAATATGGCAATTTTCCACGGAGCGAAGCATCCTATAATCGTCCTCACAGACCATCCAGCAATAGCTCCAATAGTCCGCCAGAAGAGCATGAAGACCACCGACGTCCTCAAGATGAACCATCGCTTGCAATCTGCGAGCATTTTCCTGTCCCAATTTGATATAGATGTACACCATATTCCCGGGAAGCTGAATGTTGTCCCGGACGCTTTGAGCCGCCTTCCGCGGTCAGACGACGATGAAGAACAGCTGCGATTCGTTGTCAACGACGATACACTGGAGGACATTTCCGCGATATACGGGGAGGTCGCTTTCGTTGTATCGGAAGTGAGGTAGGAACGAACCAATCATTTCGGAGTGTTAGACGAGGTCACTATGGTTTGATCGAAAACTGACAATGTGAGATGAGTGAGGAAGCCTGGAAGAAGTGAAAGCATTTGATGGGATATAACGTCATTCTACCTATGGCTCGGAATAACCCTTCAATTGTCGGAATGGCTCTATCAATGGCTTATTCTCACCGCGAGTATTTCCTCTGGAGTGAAATTCGAACAATTTACATCCACATTATAGACAGAAAGAAGACATCGAGGGCGTATAGCTTCACAAGCTCACATGTCATAAATGATCAGCAGCATGAAAGTAGTTAGACCCAGATTAATACATGTTGATCTAATCTCAAGTTATGCTTTTTACTATTTTAAATTCTCCAAAAACCGCCTTTCCCAAATGCATTTGTTTTGCAGATTTCTGCGTCTATATACCGTTTACAGCTTTCCAGCACGCTTGCCGGTCCAGGTGGCAATGGCGTCCATCAGAGGAGGGCTAAGAGAGTCGTAGGTCTCGAGACCGATGGACTTGAACTTGGACCGGACCTCGCCAATCTTCTCGGGGTCGAAGCCCTGCTCAATAATGGAGGAGACAAAGGCGGCGAACTGGGGCTCCTGCCAGCCCTTCTCGCTGGAGAGCTCGACGTGGACAAAGTCGAGCCCCTTGAAGGGGTGCTCGTTCTCGATGCGTCCGTACAGGTGGACGCCGCAGTCCTTGCAGGCGTAGCGCTGGATGGCGGCGGTCTTGTCGACGATCTGGAGCTTGCCCTCGTTGGCGGTGACCTTGAGCTGGTCCTTGGGGATGACGGCGACGATGGAGAAGAGGGCGCCCTTGGGCTTCCAGCACTTGGAGCAGCCGCAGGCGTGGTTGTGGGCGACGTTGCCGGCGAGGGTGACCTCGACGGGGCTGCTGGAGCAGTGGCACCGGAGCTTGCCGCCGGAGAAGCTGGCGCTGCCCTTGGTGATGCCGTTGTCCAGGGATGGGTGGAGAGAGAAGGCCATTGTGAGGGACTAGGGTAGTTCGACGATTGGGATTGATTGGTCGGTATGGAGGATTGAGTTGGAGATGATGAGCTATTCCAGCGCACCTTGATGGGCTCACCATCAAGGTGTTTTTATACTTGGACCGTCTATAAAGATGGGCGACCTCCTTGGATTAAGCTCTGCGCCAATCTCAGGAAGCTACCCCGAGCTATCACCGAGATGGATGCCATCGGGAGACTCCATTCCCCGCACTCGACTGAAGCTGCCATTTGGAGTACATGAGGGGCAGGCCATTGGCCGATCTCACTGGCGCATGCAGGTTTCATGAGCGGAGGCGGTTCCGATCCAAGTTAGTTTACGCGCGCTGGAGATGGCGGATTGCGTGCTGCCGCATCGACCTCGAGCATTGCCCCTGGCGGGATTCACACTACGGCAGGACGAGCCTATAGTCTGCGACTGATTGACTCGGGTCGATAAGACAATGGCCTATTCCAGGCAAACTATGCGGTTCTTCGGACTTCAGCCTCCATGCCGTCCCGCAGGGGTCGGGAGACAGCCGGCAATCGGGATCCTGAGCGTGATTCTGGAAGAGCATGGAAGTAAGTGCTCTCCATTCTTGACTCTGTCTGTACATGGATCTATCAAAAGACGCCTCAGGCAACCGTGTTTAGGAAATTGTATCCAGGCAGGGGAAGTTTTTCCAATTGGAGGAAATTTTCCCCAAACTTTGGACTCTGAAGGCTTAACCTGCCGTTGCGGAGTTGAGTGAACTAGGCTTAGAAAACTACATCACCATGACAACTTGGTACTGATAGCGTATGAGAAGAGTGTTCCAAAGAAAAGGTTAAAAAAATAAAGACCCGTCTCGGTTTTCTATGATTCAATCAAGGGCTAGCGCTATGTAACTCAAAGGCCAAGTTATGATGGTATACTTGAATATAAAACTCCAAACGCCTGAGCGTAGGCTTACAATCCGGCACAACTGCTCTCTACGCCATCTCATGAACCCTCTCCGAAGCATGCAGCTCGCTCACTGCCGGCTCCGAGCCTATCAGCTCAGTCGGTACCGGCCGCGAACCTCGCAACTCGCTTGCTGCTTGGCTCGGCGAGGGAGACTGCCAAGACGTGTTGGAGTCGTAGAGCGGCGATGACTGCAGCTCTTGACCCTTCGGGGGATCGTAATACTGGGAAACCGGCTGGCCATTGCCCCGACCATCGACTTGGGCCTCTTTCTGGCCTTGGTCTTGGCTGCTCTCCTGTCGCCGTTTCCAGAAATAGACGGCGCCAAGTATGAGCAGGCAGCCAACGACTCCCACACCGGCTCCGATCCCAGCCTTGGCTCCGGTTGACAGACCTCCTCCTCCATTGCCATCGTTGGTTGTAGAATTGTTCTCATTGGTCGTGTCGACGTCCTTCCATACACCTTTCCATGAATCCTCCCAGCTAGTGTCGCCCTTCCTAATGGTCGTGTCCGTGGTTGCGATCTGCACAACATTCGAAGTAGCTGGAACTTTCGGACCTGGCGCCTGAGCCAGCCACCATTTGTTCACGCCAAGGTCCCAATTCGCTCCGAGAAACGCATCCTGTAGGAATGCCCTGCCGAGGACATATTTCCCCCCTTCGTTGACATGGCACGGGAAGTATTGCGTGGGAGTGTCGACCAGAGGTGCTGTAAGAGTCAAATTGAGGTGCATGAACGGAACGCGAATCTTGATGGGGTTGGAGTTGCCGCCCGAGGTGAACGAGAAGCTCAAGGCTGTGGCTGAAGGAACGATTTCCTTGTATTTTTCCGAGCTTGTATTCCAGAGGTAGAGACCAAGCGTCTTGTTGAAGGTGACTGGGAGGTGGCTGGCAATGTTGTCACAAGTCGTCTTGGGCAAGGTCAGATAGGGGGAGCAGCCGTCAATCATGACCTTGAACTCGTTCGGCATTGATGAGTTCCCCTGAGCAAGGAGACCTGACTTGGTAGAATTGAAATCAAACGGCGACTTTCCATTGATGACATCAATTTCAATATCCTGCAGAGTGGTAACAGGGTCCTTGAAATCGCGTTCATTGGTGATGCTATCGCCCACAACGCGGTTCCTGTCATACCCGCCGTACCAGAGGGAGCCTGCGAGATCAGGTTCCACGGATCCGATGTGCAAGCCGAAAGAGTTGGACGGGGTGTAGCCCTGATCCCATAAAAACCCGGGGGGCATGCTAACTTTGACTTGGCCGTCGCCCTTGACTGATGAGGCGAGGTACTGATACGAGCCGCCCCGGCTTCCCACACTCAGGCAGCCAGCAAAGAATGGCGCCGTCGTCCCAGGGTACTTGACTTTGGAGTTGGGAGACTTGATGAGGGCAAGACTCGCATTGGTCACGGTAACTCCATTAATCTCGATGTCGTCCACATAACGAATCGAATCGTCACCACCCTCCACGTTCATACCAAGCTGGAAGTAGTCGAAATCGGAGGAAGCGCCGATATTACCAGTCTTTCCCGAGTTGTTTCTGTTGTGCGTGCCTGCCTCGGAGGCGTAACAGGTCCCATCACCGCAGTAATCATCTTCTATCAGCCATGTCTCCCAATTGGTTCCCGGAAAGAGGTTTATTTCTTTCCCGCCTATATTGGTTTTGACTGCGCGCCAAGGGCCATCCGGACCGAAGGTTTTGTCGCTCCATAACACCTCCTTTGGATTTGTGTCCGCCAAAGCGGCGAGGATGAAGGTAGAAACCGTTAATGATAGTGCTAAAGACATCGGGCTGGCGAGCAATTAGATTAACAAATTAATGAAAACACACGGGAGAGAAGGAAGGTGTGCCGTGCCACAGAAGTAGAGTGGTTAGGAACACAATGAAAGGCAAACGCTATCAACCAGAAAGCAGCAATGAGACACTGCAAAGATGACATGCCAGAAAGCAGAGCATAATACGAGAATCCTCCTGGGTTTTTACATACCCCATAATAAGAATAATGAACGCAGCCACCAATGGGAAGCAACATCTCAGCCTCAGGAAACCTCGCCATGCTCATGATGTCTTCTTTGCCCAAGTGGGCAAGATATGGCGGTAAACCTTGCAAGACCTTGCAGGAAACAATCCACAAACCACCGTTGACTGGCCAGTTGTTCAGGCTAAGATTCACACCATCATGGATTGCGGAGTTCGAAGTTGCTCAGATACAGGGGGCAAGACAAAAGACCCTATCGCAGATTGCAATTAAATTAACCAAGCAAGTGGGTGACATCACGCAATGAGACACCAACTTCTTAGGTCTTCTTGTACTGTTGCCGAAATACTCAAACTTCAGGGGGCAAGCGCCTTAATGTATTCTATATTTATTTTTTGAAGTATATCACGGTTTTATTTACGTAGGCTTAGGCTGGAATATTGCGGACGAGACATAGAGCCCCAGCCGTTATGGGCGCTTAAGGTACTGTTGTGTCACCCACTTTTGCTAAGCACTAATTAGGAGCTGAAGTGCTACTATAATTAAATTGCTGGCATTTGGTTGTTTCAGTTGGTAGAACTCACGCAACCCACCGCAGATCCAAACTCAGGCCATATTCAATATCATATATCAGGCTCCCAAGTTCATTGACTTTTCTCGTCAAGCTTGTTCCTCTCGAGCGTAAAATGGGCAGTATTTCTCGTAATTGCGTGGAAAGCCAAAGAGCTGGCTATTGTTTCAGCTTGGCCCGATTAGACAACATCGATTGGCCGCATGTTGTACTGAGGGAACAACGAAGCTCTGCCGTCTTCATGCATGACGGCACCAAATCTAGGTAGGCGACAAGGTATTCATTCTATTTTGCACACACAGCAAACTGCCTAGAGCTCATCCGCTTTCGGATTCCTCTCTGCCTATGTATCACCAAAGGATTCATCCCTGACACCTCAATCGATCCATTTCCACTTCCAAAGAAGCCCCCAATCACCAAATCAGGAATTCTCTTGTTTCAATCAGGATACCTACCAGTGCTAAAGTTATATCTACTACTTCCTACCTGAATCCCGTTGCCACCCAGTGCTGAAATGGCTCGATAGAACATTGGCCACCAAAGCTCCCTTTCGCATCATCAAACGCCTGATGCAGGCTGACTTCGAACTTTTTTGACGTGTATTTCTACCCATTCTAGGTCCCACGTGGGTGGGCTGTTTTTTGAACTGTCAGTGCCGTGAGACTACGCCCCAATCATACGCAGGCGTTCCCCGCCGTGGCAATTGTAATGTAGCATTGCTCGAGAAATTTCGCCTGCGCCATTCTGAACCTTGCTTCACTTATTAGCTATTGCTATGGTCGAGAGGCAGTGTTAACACCTCTATTTCGATCATGCTCTCCCTCTTGCTACCCTGTTCCAACGACATAGCGCTAACAGAATCCTTCCATCTTCGACATCCATCTTCGAAATCCATTCTTCTTAAATTTTCTTCCGTGGCAGAGGTGCTATACCTTGGCCCCCAAACCAATCTGCAGTCAGGCCACGCAAAGCCAACTGGATTCGTGGTCCTGCTGCCTGCGAATAAATTCATCTCGAACCACCTGTTTAGATGTGTGCCATGGCTCATTCAGCTTCGCCCCTTCCTCATCCTTTTCTTGGGTCGTCTTACTTAGACCAATCCCTCAAGTCCAATGCTGTTAAGGGGCAAAGCAGACCCCTGAGATAGCTTTCCCTCTTGTAAGTCTGTGTTAATCAATGGGCAGGAAACAAGCCATTAAAAGAAGACGACCATTTATGTAGCGTATGTCTGAGAGGCATGGTTTTGATCTACCTAGCTGCTCCCAGTAAGTTCTAGCCAACTACTAAAATACGAAGATCTGATGAGAGAGTGATGTTGTCACAAGATACGCAAAAGTAACCAGCGTCACGGATCGGCCCGTTTTGACTACGGCCATTTCAACTAATAGCGATATTAGGGGCTGAATTCGGCTCCTCTAAAACTCTGACGTGCATTGAAACACGTGGATCGCCTTGTCCTTGCCTTACTCCTCGAGAGTGCAGGCGACTGGGTTCTTATCGACATGGAGGCTTGTCCATCATCCGCTTGCACATAGTATCTGTGATGCTGGTCTGTCTATAATCCAAACTATGGCCAGCTAATATGCATGCTTGTAGAATTATGCTACAAATTTTCTTCAATGGTGGTGTATCAACCTCGAATCGAAGTCGAGGTGTTGGATAACGTCACTTCTCTCACCCTCTGCTGGGAGTCTGACTTCCGCCATCATCTCAAGCCTCAAGATTTGAAGGGTTTGTATCATCAAACTCAATAGATACGTCAGGCGACGGTATAGGTGGATTGTGGCTGTTTACGCCATTTGTCTAGATAATGGGATCTCAGAAATAATGGGCCAGCAGAGCTCATCGCAGGAAGGCAATTTGGCAATGTATACTAATAGCCTCGTCGTTGCGGGAATCGTAGATCAGGCAATTATGAAGTCAACCAAATGAACGAACTGAAATGATCGGCAGCTTTCGTCCAGGATCCAGCAATGATGTGCATGGCCAGCCCCAAGATGCTCGGTATTATACCAATCGGGACATCCCTGGCACACTCAAAAAGGAAGCCAGATAGAATGCAGAAAGTCGATTCAGGAACGCGCAATCACTCCCCAGAACCCGGAATCGCCTCTGTTTGAGATTCAAGCTTAGATCCTCCGATTGGGCTCGGGTCCGAAGAGATCCCAGGGGACCCCAATCAAAAACAGTGAATCGCCATCATGTTGCCTCATCAAGCAAGTGCCCTTTGAAACACGGCAACGTGCACAACGTTCGACTCTGGGATTTCCTAGTGGCCGCCAGCGCCAAGCTTTAGGAACGCGGATCGTAGGCGATGGATCATGCCAGTCCCATCATTGAAACGACCCGGCATGACCTCTCCCGGAAATGAGCGTGTAGATCAGGTCGCTGCTTGTAAGGCGAAATGGCTAGGGGCGACAAAAATGGGCTTTGATATCTTGGCTTTCAGGCGCTGTGAATGGGAGAATACTTCACTCTATGCATTAATAAACTGTCTTACCGTCACCAACCTCTTTCTCTAAATCAACCCCATCTCTCAATATCCAGTCTCCAACCCAACAACACCGCCACCAGCCAGGAAAATGAGAGTCCAGCAGATGCTCCAGCTCGCCGCCATGGCCCCTCTCGCCATGGCAGTCGACCTCTGCGACCAGTTCGCCTACCACAACGAGGCTGGCTGGTACTTCAACAACAACGAGTGGGGGTCCGGCTCCGGCTCTGGCGACCAGTGCACCCACGTCGACAGCGTCAGCTCCTCTGGCGTCTCCTGGCACACCGAGTGGTCGTGGTCGGGCAGCGAGAACAACGTGAAGAGCTACCCGTACTCCGGCCGCGAGCTCAGCGACAAGAAGCTCGTCAACACCATCGGCAAGATTCCCTCCGGCGCCGACTGGTCCTACAGCGGGAACGACATCCGCGCCAACGTCGCCTATGATATCTTCACGGCTGCCGATCCCAACCACGAGATCAGCAGCGGCGACCACGAGCTCATGATCTGGTAAGAGGCCTCCTGGCTTATAGATATCAATCAAGCATTAGGCTCTTTGGTGACTAACAAATATCCGAACACGACAGGCTCGCCAGACTCGGCGGTGTCTACCCCATCGGCCAGTCCACTGGTACCGTCCAGGCTGCCGGCCGCAGCTGGGAGCTCTATGTCGGCTACAACGGCGCCATGAAGGTCTACAGCTTCATCGCCCCCGAGCAGATCAACAACTTTGACGGCGATGTCAAGGAGTTCTTCAACGTCATCACCGAGCAGCAGGGTTTCCCCGCGGACAGCCAGCACCTCATCAGTAAGTCCATCTATAAAACAAGAAACCGGCTCCGCAAGTTATAACTAGCCGAGGGCAGCGTGCTGACTTTCATTAGCCCTCCAATTCGGTACCGAGCCCTTCACTGGCAGCAACGCCCGGTTCGACGTCCACCACTGGAGCGGTAGCGTCGAGTAGGATACTTCTTTCAGAAGATAGTTGCTAGTGTCTGTCATTGAGGAAGTATCACGTGGTGGCATCTTAGGACAGAGAAAATATGACACATAGATGGGCATGTATTTTTAAAGGGAAAAAAAGGCCAATTGAGCCCATTTGAGTCGATGCTATAGAGAATATAATGATACGAAGCTGTAGGGGAGAATTGTACAATTAGTGGCTGCTAATTATGAAGTTGTAGCGGGGTCCCTGCTACAGTACAAATCCGTTCTGACACTGTGTTTTGTGCTCCTGGGCTGCGGTATTGTGTCCACCTAAGCTGCGAATACAGTGCGAACTCTCCAATTCCAACAGCAAGAAAAAGATCAACACAGTCAATTCAACGATACCCAAAGGCAGATAATCGGTGAAAACCGACAAGACACCATCTATTCCAGCTGAATTTTCGGTTTTCACCTAGTCCTATACCCCATAAACAAGTCACAGCCTCCGCAATGCCGCCAACCGAGCTTCCAGCCTCTGGCAACCCGCTGTACGTGAACCACCAAGCCTACATTCACCTTCATAGATGAGCCAACAGGCTGACATTTACCTCAGAGTCTTCTTCGATATCACTCTTGGAGGTTAGTTTCGCACAATCCAAGTCATATATGATCAGTCACCAGGTCATTATCGGTCATTGCCCTATGAATCTAACCAGCTTGAATTCCAGGCGAACCTCTGGGCCGCATCAAGTTCGAGCTCTTCAAAGACGTGGTTCCCAAAACCGCCGAGAACTTCCGCCAGTTCTGCACCGGGGAGGCCAAGAACAGCGTCGGTCGCCCCCAGGGCTACAAGGGCTCCAAGTTCCACCGTATTGTGCGTATCCCTCCACCCCCTCCCTCCCTTGCCCAGGGCTGTCCCTCTTGAATTGCCGAAGGGGGGGTTCCAATATCCCCATCGATACATGCTTCCTTGCTAACACTAGGCAAACCAGATCCCCAATTTCATGTGCCAGGGCGGCGACTTTCTCAATGGCGACGGCACCGGCTCCACCACCATCTGGGGCTTCAAGGCGTTCGAGGACGAGAATTTCAACCTGAAGCACGACCAGCCTGGCCTTCTCTCCATGGCGGTACGTATCCGCTTCAAGTGTATTTCTACCCATGTCTTGGCTAACAGCAGCTCTCAGAACGCTGGCCCCAACTCCAACGGGAGCCAGTTCTTCATCACCACTGTCCCGACCCCATTTTTAGACAACAAGCACGTGGTGTTTGGAAAGGTGGTTGAGGGGATGGATATCGTGAAGAAGATGGAGGCGACCAAGACCGGGTACCGAGGAAAGGACGTCCCCAATATGGACATTGTCATTTCTCAGTGCGGCGAGATGTGAGAAGCATAGGCCAATTGGTTATTGTTCATTGATAAATGTCGCTGAAAGAGAGCCATGAATACCCATAAAGATTCCTAGCAAGAAAACGCTCATCACACCTCTTGTCATGTTCACATTGAATACAAAATCACTTGATAAATTTGAAGCCCTAGAACAATGGTATTGTGTTTTGCAACATTTACGACACAAAGCCACCTCACCACGAACAAGAAGCCTTTTGTGTGTGCGTGACACATTTTCATTGTGCCTACCTAAGCTAGACAAGCTCTCCTTTTGCATGTGCACAGGCTCAGGTAGCCTCGAATGCCATCCGACCGTGACCAAATGCCCGAACTCAATCAGGGCCTCAATATTGAGAAAAAATGAACAAAGAAAAGAAAAATCCGAACCGCGCCATATGTTTTGACACCGAAATCTGCCCTGCCTACCCCTCCCAATGAGTCTATCCCTGGTATCTCAAAGCGCCTCTTGTAAATCGAAATCAAAATAAAATAAACAAAGAAGAGTAAAATTTTGCCGCCTTCTATAATCAATGCCGCTTTGTGTCATGTATTTGGCTCTGTGCTAGGCTTTTGAATTTGGTAAGCTTAATTGAACAGCAATAGATTTTTGAGCGTGTGAGTAAGATGCTACCCACCACAATGAGCCAAGTGAATGAATGACAGCGACAAGAGTCAAGGCAATGAAGAAAGAGCCTAGCTGGCTCTGGTCTTCGTTGAAACCTCTTCTTTAGGAAGAAGGAGAAGCAATCGATGTGGAGAATCCAGATCTGACGTGAATGAACACACCATTCATGCCAGCGCCAGTCGGTGTCGCTGGTCTAGAGCTGGCCGTGGAGCTGCTGGTTGGTGTTCCCTTGGGATACACGGTGGTGTATTGCGTGTCAATGTCCGTGACTGTCTGGTAGATGGTTGACCTGCTGTGGCAGCAATCACCACCAGAGCCACCAGCGGACGTTGTTACGTACACGGTAGAGACTACAGTAGTAGCAGGGATTGTCTCTGTCACTGTCACTGTAGCCGTGGCGCCGTTACCCGGAGCTGAAGTGTTACCCGGAGCTGAAGTAGAACTCTGCTTCACAGAAGTGTGTGTTGGCGTGGCTGAAGTAGAGCTGGCACTAGGTTGGACCGAGCTGTTATCACCCCCATCACCGTAGTTGACATTGACATCAAAGTTAGTCTTGAGTTGAGAGGCGATAGCCATGTTGAAGACGTCCGAGAGCCCAGAAGATGAACTCTCGGTGTTGGCCTTGGTAGAGTACCCGGACTTCTCAACGATCTTGATATCAAGGGTGCTGGCGTAGCTTTCATTGGTGGCGATGGCCTGCATGGTGAATCCATTGGGGTCCTTCTCGCCTCGCATGAAAGTGCCGGCCCAAGGGTAGATGCCGTTCTTCGTAGCCTCCATGTCAACGACCTCCGGGTTCAGGTTGGGCCAATCCCAGTACCAGTAGATGGTGTAGATTGAACCGGGCTTGAGATCATCAGGAAGCTGAAGGTCCGACTGGCAAGCGAGCGGGGTGCTGGGGTTCGTCTTGAGAGCCTGGGCTCGGCTAAGTGCCAACCCTTCGTTGCGGGCCTCGTAACACTGGCCATCGTCGTAGTTGCGGGTAGACAGAAGCTTGCCTCTGCCATCACCGCCGGTGCCTTCAGTGTTCCACTTCAGGTGGATGTCAAAAAGCTTCTCGTCATCCTTGGGATCAGCTGTGCCGTAGAGGTAAACAGTGCCCCGGTTGTATGGCTTGTAGGGGTTGGTTTGAGGTTTGGTGGTGTGTCCGTTTTCAAGATGAGTGATGGCGATGAAATCACCGGGGGCAGCTTCGAGCATGGGGAAAGATGGATTGGCCTCAAAGGCAGCCTTGTTGATCTTCTCATCGCCTGTGTAGAAGGCCGTGCCGGTATACGGAAGTCGCAGGAGGACCTTCTCATCATTGAAGGAGGGATCTGACCGAGGGATGTACCCGCGAGGGTAACCCTCTGCTCCAAAGAAAGTTTGGTTGGCAGGATTGATCTTGATAGCGCGTTCTATCCAGGAATGCGCATCAACAGAGTTAGTAAGAGCCAGAAGTGATGTGGCAATGAGGCCTGCTCGAGCCATGGAAACGAAGTTGCGCATATTGCCGAAGCTTGTGCGCGAAAGTGAGCGTGTTTGTAGTTGAAATTCCAGAAATGGAGGGAAAAATGAGGAAATGAGAACTGGGTTCTCGATGAGATCGTGATTTCTCGCCAGGAGAAGTGTTGCAAAAATGTAGAAATTTGTGTGGTAGAATCAAAGTGGGTGAAGAAAATAAGAAAGAGAAAAGGGAAAAAAGGCTCTGGGAGAAGAGAAATATAAAGGGAGCCGTGTACTGCCCTAAGTCGTGTGTTCCAGGCGTGAGCAGCCGGCGGGAACAGTTCTGAGAGTGTTCTGAAGGAAATCTGAGAATGACACACGCTAAGAACAAGAAGGCGATGCAGTGCGTTTTTGTACAGAATGCGACAAAGACGAACACCCTGATTTGATTTTATATCTCGTCCCCTTTCTACCCCAATGCCACCTCTTTAAAATAGCCAGTCAGGTAGATCTCGTTCTTTGAACAAACAGTGAATCAACGCCAATGGAGGACCGAGTGGGAATGCCGACAGTAGTATGTGATGTGAAGGAATATGAGATGGGATGACACAATCAATGCGTAGAAGAAACGATCAGTCCAGCTGAGTAGAAGTGAGAAGAAACAGAGAAGAGAGAGATGCAAGTATGTGCCACCTGTTCATGACTCTAGCTCCGCATCCTTGTCCGAAGTCTGCACGTAATAATATGGTATAAGGACGAAGGTAGTATGATCGACAGCCAGCTGGAGATGAAAGAGAATCTATAGAACTGGGATCGGAGAAAGGAATCAATATCACTAGGAAGAAAGAGAAGAAAGGCGAGCCGCAATCAAGGAGGCACCAGTGGCCATACATAGGAAACCAGAACAAGGCTCTGCTCTTGAGTAACAACAAGCCAGCGACAGACACCAATGAAAGAGCCTCCGCGAGCCCAACTCTCTTACACGCAACGTCTAACCGCGACCTATAGACCGATGCGGCCTTGCGGCGGGCCGCAACTTGCAAGGGTCGAGCCCAGGCAAACAGGATACCGAGTGAGTCGATGGACTGATGACAGGCAGAAGATGCATGATGGTGTCTCGGTAGACGCTGGCGGACCATGTACCCCACCGTACATTTTGCAGTGGCAGGGTACCTGCTGATGCTCAAACCGCTAGGGGTCTAGGCCGGGGCGCACGTTCCAGAAAATTAGCGCCCAAGGCCGGCGATTGGCTGGCAGAGGCCCATTGCCGCCTGCGACCTGGCAATTTACAGCAGCACGGCAGCCGACAGTGGACACGCGCTATTTCGGGTGCTGTGCTCTAAATTAATGTCCTGTCTCTCCAGCCATTCGCCTGCTCTTCGTTTCTTGATCTTGACTCTCCGTCTCTCTGCCTTGTCCCTGTCCGTGCCTGTGCCTGGCCTGGGTCCGGGCGGGCTCCCTCCCAAACCGTCCTCTGCCCTCCAATCGGCTGGCTCCGTCGGATCCTGTACAACCTCTCGCCCTCATCCCGTCCCGATGCAATTTCTGGTCGCGCGGCTGCAACCTCGCTCATGCACGAGTCGAGTCCTTACGGGTACCGGGCCAAGGAAAGGCGAAACGCTGGGCGGCTTGACTCAGAGCAGAGTTTGCGTCTCTCGCCATTGTATTTTTACCTCATTCTTGTTCTCTGCGTTTGATCAAGCGCCCGGCCCAGAGCCTCGCCCAGCAAAACCTTCCTACCCAACCAACCAAATATTTCTGTTCCTTGGAACAATCTAATGAGGGCCATCATGTCTTGCATGTGCCTCACGTGCTAGGTTCCCGGGCCGTTTCAGTCCCGGTGCGAGAGCTGTCTTGACTATGCCCAAATCTCCCTTTTGTGATGTGTCACGGTGTCCTGTCAACCATGTCACACATCTACCTCCATGTGCATCGAGTGCCCAAGATCGACCAGCCGTCGTGCAAGTCATCGTTTCATGGTTACATCGTACACCGATATCATTTGCCAGTGGCGTCCCCATCCCCCATGACGTCAAATATGTGAAGTTGGCATACTCCAACATATAAAGTACGAGACCGATGTTTGCAGATTGTGCTTCTGTTGATAAAACCTGCTTGTTCTCCAAGAGCTCTCACAGATAACCAGTCAACCAGTCTCGTCTTTGCTTCTCTGCAATGTAGATCTCACCGATGTTGAACACTCACTCCCCACCCAATCATCAGCCACACGACGTTTGGCTCAGGAACAGTCTGAGTTTCAACCGCTCTCCCTTCCCCCAACTCAAATCCACGTGTTTCACTGCCCATTCTGTTTGAGCTCCTCCCAAACCATCGGGATGACGCCTCAGTCACGGAATCCAGACCCGTCTTTTTCCTCTCGTTGCTTTTTCGAGTTTGTGGATAAAGAGGGCGGAGCACACCGAACACATCATTTCTCACTCAAAGCGTCACCAAGGTTTCAACAACCGCCATCACAAGCCCTCCCACAACACGCGTCCTTCCCTGTTTTTTTATAGTTTGGAGATAGCATTTCCCACCAATCCTAGCCTCTGCCCAGCTTCGGGGCTGCTGGTAGGCTGGTGAAGCCTTTGCGTAAGCCCTGGTCCACACAGATTTCACCGCCGATGCACGAAATCCAATAGACCTTGGATGAATTCCAGCAGCCCAGTTTCACTTAAACCCAAGCTAGTTTCACTTTCACCGACACATCGAATTGTCTCGAACGTTTATAGGTATCCAATTAATTATCATATCATATCCTAACCTTCTATGCCCACATGCGTGGCATCATGAATAGAAGCGGCCAGATCGGATCTAAACCTTATCCTCCCCCCCTTCCTTTTATTTCCCATATCAAACAAACAAAACAAGTGACAATGACATCCATTAGCGAAAAAGCAAGAACCAAGCAAAGAGAGCATCCGTTCCGTGCCCTATATGGTATTACG